AATAAACACACACACACACACACACACACACACACACACACACACACCAACACACACACACACACAAGCTCACACACACACACACACACACACACACACACACACACACACACACACACACACGCGCGCGCACACACGCACACACGCACACAAAAGGTTTTTTAATGGTGATGATAGTGTAGTACTTGATTATGGTTATTATTATTTTTATTATTCCTATTCCTTCATTAAGATGGCAAATTATAGTTATTTACATGCATGAACCAGCAAACTTAAGTTTTAGTCGGTTTTCCCAATGAATTTCTGACTTCTCAGTGAAGCTCACGTCAGAATCATGCAGTTCAAGTCCATATGCATTTAAACTACTGCTACAAAAATTGTTTTCCAGAAAGCTCCGGACAGAATTGAACTCCAAAAACGTGAACTCAGAAAGATTTGACAAAAAAGGTTTATTTAAAAAAAAAAAAAAACTCTCTTAACGAATGCGTTCATGGCTGACCACCTGGTTTAGCTGGATGGGTTGAGTGGAAGGTATGGAGTATCCAGGAGCAGGGAATTCACTGCCTCTCCTCCGGTCCATAGCCCTTCCACTTGACCAGATACTGAATGCCTCTGCCCTCTGCGGCGAGAGTCCCAAATTTCTCCCACCGTGTACACAGGATCCCCGTAGATCGAACGCGGAGGTGGAGTGGGAGAAGGATCCAGAGGACTGGATGCCACGGGCTTGACAAAGTATACGTGGAATTCTAGGTGAACTTTCATGGTGGGAAGTAGCCGGAGCTTGACAGAGATGGGATTGATGATGGCTTGCATCTCGAATGGTCCCATGAACCATGGTCCCAAATTTCTCGATGAGCCGGACAGATGCAGGGTAGAGAGTCATACTTTATGCCCGACATGATAGTCCGGCGCAGGGCGTTGTCAACGGTCCACAATAACCCAATTGCGTGAGGCGGTATGTGACAGGGCAGCTTTGGTCTCCCTCCAAATCGTATAAGGCCACCGCAAGTGGAGCTGAACTGAGGGGATCTCCACAAGCCCTTCCTGCGACGGGAATAGTGGTGGTTGGTAATCATATGCTGACGTGAAAGGTGACCGCCCTGTGGCCGACAAGAGAGTGTTGTGCACGTACTCTACCCAGGGCAAATGGTTGGCCCATGACGGAAGCTGGTGCAGATTTACACGGCGGCTTGCGGATTCCAGGTCCTGGTTTTTCCTTTCGGTTTGCCCATTCGATTGCGGGTGATACCCGGAAGAAAGGCTCGCCGTGGCCTCCGGGGCATAGCAGAACCGCTTCCAAACCTGGGCGACAAATTGTGGACCCCGGTCGGAAACGATGTCCACCGGGATCCCATGCATGCAGTGTAGTGAATGAGTAAATTGGCAGTTTCAAAAGTGGTTGGACGCTGAGTCGTGCAATGAAGTGGGCACACTTGGATAAAGGATCAACAATCCTAAGTATGAGTGACTTGCCCCTTGAGGAGAATCTCATTGGCTTGTACAAGTGTACCTAATATTGCGTCTGGTCCATCTCAACTGGCATGACCTTTCAGGTGTCTTCTGTGTTGCCCGTGGAGATCGATAGGGCTCATGGTCCACTGCATGACATTTTTGATGAGCCTACTTAGGCCACTGCATGACAGCCATTATTCATGAACAGTAACGTCGCACAGTCCTGCGCAGTGTCCTCTTACTTGCACCTGTGCCGGTAAGCATGAATCGATAGCAGAGAACCAGTCAAATGTTTTTCAAGGAGACGATTGAAGATTGTGCAAGCTGGCTAAGATGTCTCGCTCTTTGTGATATGTGAAAATTTACATTGGGCTCGCTCACATAACTCTGACGACACTCTGGAGGAGGTGGGCAACAGCAGGATGCTAGCTAAGCTAAAAGCTATGTTGGACAGTCCCTCCCACCCCCTTCAGCCAGCCCTGACAGCACTCGGTAGCTCCTTCAGTCAGAGACTGTTACACGCGCGTTGCAAGACGGAGAGATACCGCCGCTCGTTCCTACCGACTGCTGTCAGGCTGCTGAATAAAAAATGAATAAATAAATGAATCATAGAATTATTTAAATGATATGACAACATATGTGAATAGTACTGTGACTATTGTATTATATTGCACTTAATTATTGACCTTATCCATGTTTGTATTTATATTGCACTTAATTGAACTGTGTTTTCTTTTCTCTTCTTTCTACCCACAATCTTGCTGCTGAAGGCTGTAAATTTCCCCAGTGTGGGACAAATAAAGGATATCTAATCTAATCTAATCTAATAATATTTTAGTATAAATACAAAAGCACAGGATTGGCAAGAAGTTGCATTCTTGAGTGTGGGAGTAAGAGCGATTGGCCCCCGTTTCTGATTATTCGACATTCCATCACCTGTTAAAGCCATTACTGCGCTCTCAGTCTTTGCTTCACTTTGTAGCCTCCCCCTGGTACAGAATCAGTCCGAGGCCAACAGCTTTTACCTTGGAAGTGATTTCCTTCCATTAGTGACCCAATAAAAGTACAATACTCCCTTGTGGGCTTGCTGCTCTACCAAAGTCATCATATTTCCATTGCACTGATGTCTTTGAGCTATTCTTTATGAAAATGCATTCTTTTTATTCCTGTCCTCATTAAGGGTTTGGATGTCAAGGTTCCTCCAAACAGTTACAGTTGTACCAACATATATGATCCTTCCAAACCTAATGCTTTTTAAATCCTTATTTATGGCTTGTATTATCCAGCCAAAATGGTTTCTGCTCAGTATTTAACATGGCATTTCATCTGTGGACGGGTTTATTGTTCATGTTAGTCTCTCGGATCAGTTCCATCATGGGATCTTCAACTCAGCAGAATTCTCATACCCACCAGGAAGCCGGTGTTTTTCATTTCACCTCGAATTTTGTATCTGTTGACGTGTCTTATTTGGTTTCGTATATACAACAATCATCTGGGCTGTGAATTGCAGATGTAAAACCACCTTTTTTATTTATTAGGACAGGCATACTTGACCTCTGCCGTGCGTCCTCCCAGGGCATACGGTTGGTAGACTCAAAAACAATGACATTCAATGAAAAGCCACGTGAATGAGTTGGAAGACTCGAC